GGAGGTTATGGATGGCAGAATGGCACTCTTGCTGTTCACAGCAGGGACGCCAGCATGGCTCCATGTGAGCAGGAGTATTTCCTCATCCATGCAGAAAGGAAAGTAAACAGGTCTTAGATGTAAAGGGCTCAAGTACTACTGAGCTCCAGACTGGCCTCCAGCAGGACTAACAGCTCTGCCTTCAGGATGTGCCTTGATTTCTTGCTTATTCAGGTTATCTGTCCTCTAGAAAACAGGAGCTGAGGTGGGCCGGTCTTGCTGAGAACTGAGCTGGTTTTGCAGGGAGTCGGATGTTTCCTGACACTACGATGTCTAACAACTTGCTGCCCCTATAACCACGGGGCCGTGAAGTCAGTTATCTTGTCTCTGATGCTGACCAAACTCCAAACAAGGTGCAGAAAGCTACAGCATAGGTGTCACGATGTGACACTGAGCAGCAGGGGAGAAGAGGTCTCTCCTTGCAGCTGATGAAGCCCCGAAACTGTGGTGCTGGTTATTGGGGTTGACAGGGCCTCTGTTCTGACTCTGAGTAGCCTAAGCAAGGATGATGCTAAGTACATGCATCTTGTAGTTGTTGCCAACCAACTGGGCAACAGGTGACTCTTATTCTTACATATTACCCTTCATTAAAAAAAAAAATTCAAACGCACACCCAAAACAAAATCAAACCATAATTCTTTTCAAAAAATCAAAAGGTTTGTTTCTTTAGAGGCTGTTTGTCACATATGCTGTTAGAACAGTCGTGGTGCTGAGGGGATTAAATCCAGTACAGATGAGAAGTTCCAGTGACATTTTTTTTGAAATAAATAACCTGGGGCTGGAAATCTTCACTAGAAGAATGATGGTTCAGAATCATGGATTCTGATTTTTTCAGGCCTGCCGCAAAAAGCATCATTTGTCATTTAAAAACTTATGTGTTCCTGTGTTAAGTACCTTGCTGTTTCTGCTGAGACAGACAAGTAAATTTAAGAAAAGCTGGTTGTACTACTATCATGGATGTTTAGTCAATGTATTTTGTGCGTAGAGGGCGTGTGTACATAATGCAAATGCATTAGGTCTCTTTCTCCTTTGATAAACACTGAATTTTGATTGCTCATTAATGCAAAACCTTCAAATTTTTGTTTCAAGCTACCAGATAATGGTCTTGTGGGGGCTTTTAATTGTTTGCATCAAGGACAGGCGCATATGTAAGCTACAAAAAAACAGAGTTGTTAGCACATTAATGTAAATATACCTCACAGAGACCCTTCCGTGCTTGGTTACAACCAAGCTTCCTGCTTCCTCATCAGGGACAGCCAAGCAGGCTTCTGAACGCTGAAGGCTCAGGCTATTCTTCTTAGGCAATTGGCTAGACTGTTAATTAGAGCTACGCTGGGTTTCTGCTGATCCCTGCCTGTGCCTCATCTACTTGTCTTCTAATGAGTTTGTGGTCTACCTGGAAATCTTGCAAACAACTTGGGGGGTGGGGAGGGAGGAGAGAAAGCAATCTGTGTCAGTTATTTTCTTCATTAGATAAATGCCTTGCACATAAAAACCTGAAATGCTTAATTACCTAACACTTGTGGCATTTTAAACTGATGTAAGGGCAGCTACTGTAAATGCTGAAGAAACTGATCTCGGATTTTTGCAGTTTGTTTTATTTTACTGATGTTGAAGTATCTAGTATCTGGGGGGGGGGTGGGTGTTCACTGAAGCTAGTATAAAACATGGTGTGAGTCAAGAAAATTAAGCCACTTTATAGTCTAAGAAGCTAGCACAACCTGAGGAAGAAAAGCACTTCAGGGTGATATCACAAAGATTTAAATAGATTTGGAGAGATGCAACTAAAAACCTTTAAGGGGGGATGACATGCTCTGTACCTGTACAGTAAAACAGAGTGAGGAATCGATCAGTGACTCACAAAGAGATGATTCACATCTCTGCATTTTACCACATGGCTACCAGAGCAAGGTTATGAATAAACTTTACATACCGTGAAATACAGGATGCCTTTTCCCGACACACATTCCCTTCAATAACCTGAGAATGCAGGCACCTAAGTATATGCTAATGAATATGCCGATTACCTTCCTAATGAAGTAAGTGCACTGTCCACCAGAGAACAGGTTATGACTAAGCAAATGCACGTAGCCCTCTGGAGTTCTGTACCTCCTGCAGCCATGTCCCTGTCTCTCACTGACATATAAATCGGGGCCCACCACCCCACACGGGGTTTGCAGGCAGAATGCTGAAATTAACAAACCAAAATTACTAAATTTCAGAGTCAGGCAATAGCACAGTTTGCCTTTAACACAGATGAACTTTGTGGGGTGAGTCCAGTTCCTCCCTGAGCCAAGGCACTGTGGTGGTAGCAGGGCAGGCTGTGGAAGTCACCTTGGGAGTCCCTTGGGGCTGCTTCCCTGAGCAGCCTGGATATACATCCTCAGAGCTAATTCCTTGCTCTGAGACACTGTCAAATTCAATTTCTTTCAAAATTATTCTGCATGTAGCTAGATGATGTGTCTTGCAGTTGCTTACTGCCTTGTCACAGCTGCATGCCCTAAGCCAAAATGAGTGCTAGTTAAACACAGAGCAGAAAATAGAAGATGAGATTTGGTAGACAGAAGGGAATGCAGGTGTAAAACAATAATGCCGTAAGCCTGATAACTGAAGAAGCCTGACTTCCTGTGGATTTGTTTCTTTTTATTGGTTGCAGGATCTAAGAAGTTACTAATACTGATGTAGGTCTTTTTCCTAATGAGGCATGAAAAAAGCCTCTCTCCTGTGGATCCTTTGGTGTTAGAAAAAGATAAGCATTGCACACTTAAGCTTTTTTTCTTCCCCAGCTAAGGTATTCTTAGGGTCTCTCTTCTTCATCTTGCCAACTATTTTTGTGACATTTTTAAGAACATACCTTTGAGAGTGTTTCCCCTCAGTCAAATTTGATCAAAGGTCAGTAGAGTTATAATGAGCATGTACACATGCATGTGTGGAGACTGAGAATTTAATAAGCCTCATATTCTTAGGAAATCAGGCTAAAATAAAGCAACTATAATGTCTCTCTGAATAAACAGAACAATACTGTTGCTTCTGAGACTCACTTGAAGAAGTACGGTTAGGATCTAGTTGGCACGGCTGGTTTAGCTGTTCTGGAGATAAGCAAGGATGTGGTGTCAATACGAGAGTGCTCTGTGATGGACTTACCAATGACAGGAGAAGGAATAGTCAGGCTTCAAGGTGTCATCCACCTCATTCTGGTACTTCTTGTCAGGAGGGAACAGGAGGGCTTTCTCAGCCAGTGTGCAATGCCTCACCATGATCAGCCAGTGGACTACTCTGTCTTGAAATAAATACAGAAGTTTCAAGGAAAAACCCCTTATTTTTCTAGAGGATTGGTGGAGAAACAGCAAGATTCCTGCTGCATAATCTCTCTGCTGGGAAATTCACAGTGTGTTACAGCAGTGGATAGTTTCATGGTAGTGCAGTAGGCAGAACCTTTTAAGCAAGCTGCAGGGAGCTTATTTACAAGCGCTTTCCTCCTACAGAGAACCTCTGTGATATTCTGGTGCAGAACAACAGGCAATCATTGATTATTTTTTTTTTTCCCTTTTCGTAGACTGGCTAGCATGTGTTCTGGAAGGGCCAACACTGTCTCTTGCATGCAGCAAAAACAAAGCTGCATGTATGGGAATGATGGACAGGAGGATTTTAAAGATGAGTACTTTCCCACCAGCTGCACCTTGTGTGTTTTCTGGGGTTGTGGTGATGTGCTGTGTCTGATCACAAATCGGTTCTATACTCCTGTAAGAGTGCTCTACATGGATTTATTTTACTCCTCCAACTAGCTGTGTGATTGATGAGTCCTTTAGAGTCTTTTTCTCTAGAGAAGAGAAACTTTAATCACATTTTAAACCAGTGGCAGTAAATGATTCCTTAAGTGTGGGTTTTGGAGGACTAAAGGAACATTCATTTCAGAACTGCCAACCCATAAGAGTAATTAGCAGTCAACCCTCATGCTGAACACACATTTTAAAGATAAGGCTTTTTGCCTGCCTGCAGCTGTTTCACAGAGTTGCCGTTTTCCAAAAGATGGATGAAATGTGTTTGTTTAAATGATAGATACTTCCTGAATGAGAGATACATTAAGCGCATGACTTCTCTCGGTTCAGAAGACAGGTCCAGATGGAACGGATTGGCTGCAGGACTGCTGATCTGATGTAGAAATATTCCTCAGTTTAAGAGCAGGCACCCAAAATGTGAGGAATAAATGCTGTTGGCATCCAACAGATGGTAGTTGACATGTTTTCCAGCTGTCACAATTCTTGCAAAATTCTTCTGTCATGTATGCCAGAGTTTCACCTTTCTGCTGCCAAGCTGAATATACAAATGACAGCTGCAGGTAAAGGTATTCTACAGCACTCTAAAGTTGAAGAGAATTAAGCTGAACCAACAGAAAAGGATTAGTAGATCTTGAATTAATATGTGCACCTTAGACACTGTGATTGGGATATTCTACATTAAATTCACTTTGTAGAATAATTTTCATTGCATCAAGTCTTGTGTTTTCTCTAACCTCAGGTAAGAACCGAGTCACCCGCAGCATCTATCTCAAGGTCACTTCCCTTACTGTGACACTAAATTGCAACGCATAAATGTCTTTTGCCTGGTACAGTCCTGGGCTGTTTTCTATTGCCTCTGCTTTGAAGTGTCAGCTTTCAGTGAACTCTGCTAACATTTTATTATTGCATGGAGGCTGAGGCAGAGAAGAGCAATTAAAGGGTTGACGTCTTGATATTTTTTTAGTAGTACATGTGTCAAAATGCATTTAACAAATCAGAGTTGATGCAAAAACCCAATTAACGCTAAGATGTAAATAGAGTTAATTTCAGTTGGGAGCAAATGAGAATTTTAAAATTTATAATAACAAAAAATGAGTGTTTTATTTTAGATATAGGACCTAACTACAACTCTTGTTTCTGAGAACTGAAGGCTTAAAGCCTAAATATTTCGTTCTGTTCCAGGATACAGCTGGGCAAGAAAGATACAGGACCATCACTACAGCCTACTACCGAGGAGCCATGGGCTTCGTCCTCATGTATGATATCACCAGTGAAGATTCCTTCAACGCAGTGCAGGACTGGTATGAAATATTGTTGTTGTTGGGTTTGTATGTTTTTGGCCAATTCTCTCCTTGCAGTTGTTTGTTGAGAATGTTAGACATCCCGCCCCCGTCAGTGCTTTGCATACTCGTATTCCTTCCTCTTCATCTAAACTCTGGGATAAATAATTTGGTTTTTTGAACTCTTCTTAGGAAAAGTTCTACAGCTTCACTTTAATGAAAAAGTTATAATTCAAATATAGTAGTATATTACTGAAGGTGTTGATTTTAGTTCTAATTTATTGTAAAGAAATTAATCCTTTAGCGCATTATTTGGGCTTTCTGGCTATGCTGCTAAAACAATCCAGTTTAACAGTGGTTGTTCAAGTCAAATCTCATTTAAAATCTAATAAGGTTAAAAATTTCCAAACTTCCTTAAAAGTGATTTTTTTTTTTTTTTTTTTTTTTTTTTTTTTTTTTTGAACCTACAGGTATGGACATATGGAACAATATTCACATTGCCTAACTTGAGATACTTAAAAATCTAACTTTACCAGTTTAAAACTTGCAAAGTTTAAATTAGTTGTAATAAGAGGAGGAAGAGCAAGGTCTAGGACAGAAAGCAAGCATACCCCTTGGAAGGGGCCTGTCTATTACCACTAACTACAGAAATCACCTGAGCAGCTCTGTAAGGCAGTGCTCAGTGTGGGATGGTGGGATAGGGGAGGAGGAGTTACCTATTAAATGGGAAGGGTAGGGACTTAGCCCTAAAATTAGGTATGAAATGGATTCTCAGCTCTTATAAGCTTCTCTGGCTCCACTAAATTCAGTATAAATGCAGAAACATCAAAAAAATTATTTCTAGACTTTCTGATGACAAAAAGCCAGGAAATAATTTTTGCTTACAGTGAAAAAAGAAAGCACCAGGTCAGTCACATAAAAAACTTCACAGCAATATCAAAACTACGTTGGTACACAGGCTTGTCTCCTTGACATGTCGGTGTGCACTTCCCCTTCCCCTCCTGGAGGCTCCCATTGTAGCTCATGCCACCTCTGGGGAACAAACTCATCTTGCCCCACACTGTGATCTGAGTTTGGAAGCGGGGCTGCGGCTCAGTCCTTCTTCCTGCTCTGCTGCCTTCCAGACATGTACATGAACAGAGCATGAGGAGTCGTGGTCTTCCCAGAAGAGCACGTGCTGTTGCGGGGGCCGCGGGCAGTGCCTGCAGCCCCCTCGGTGGTACCTGACGAGAGGTGTTTTCTCAGCAGGGACTCAGCACAGTGCCTGGAGTGAAAACATCCGAAGCTGCTGCTGTGAGGTGGTGGCCACAGGTCCAGCACAGAGGAGCAGAAGGCTGGACTCTGTTGCTGGAGCTCACGCTCTGATATGGCATCCTCTCAAAGGGACACTAGACTCTCTGTAGGAAACACAGGGCGTGGGGAGGCAGGGGAAAGGCTGTGTTAATCCTCAGAAGTAGTACCCCTGTGGCTCCCCTCAGATATCTTGCAATCACTTCTATTTGTTACCCTGTTTGCTGTATACTGCAGATGGGTATAGTCAGTGTGCAGAGAAAGGCAATGCAGTGGTTAATGTAATCTCTCAAGCCTGATAGATTGATTTGCAATGATTTCAGTGACCTACTGGGAGCATGTGACATATGCTGGCTATGGCACTGGCTCTTAGCATCCAGCTCAGTCTGGCTTTTTGCTGAACACCTGTTCTGTATCCCCTTATCTAGGTTGTAACTCAAAAGCCACAACAACATGGTTTGTTGTTTCTAGTAATTTGGCCTTCTTCCAAGGCTGCCCATTATTTGTTCTTGCTGTCCGCTGAAGCAGTTGGTCATGATCATCACATCTAAAGAGACAGTCTCTGCTTTCACCCCATCTCCAGTATCATGACACCATGCTGCAGAAGGTGAACTGCAACACCTTCCCTGAGCCGTCTGTCAGCAGCTAATGATAGGGGAATATATTTGTTCCTTGCTAGAAACACAAACCCAAAGGTTTTTCCAAAACAGGCTCTTCCATATGGCACACCCTCCACCAAGCTCAGATGAAGCTTTTTCTGCAAGTGTCTGCACAGGGATTTTTTCTATAAGAGTGCAGGTATATGAGCTAGGATAATATCTTTCACTGAACTGGAAATATTTTCAGCTTGGTTCCCTGATGAAGCAAGGTATATATGGACACACAGTTCATCTACCTGTCTGATTGTTGGTTCTGCTCTAGTAAATTTTACTTAATCAGTCTTAACTTAGCCAAAAATACCAAATCTCAGTCTCTGAGCTGCTACTATTTTAAGTTTGTAAAGGTGAAGTTTAACGTAAAGCTTTGTATTGGAAGTGGTCTAACCTCTGTTCCATCCAAGGCAATGGTGCAAGGGTAAAAATTTGGAAAGGTCAGCTTTGTGCATTTGACTTCATGTCTTCCTGTGCCACAGGGGCTGCATCATCAATGTCATTGCTGAAAGCACCTTGTCAACCAAAAGACAGAGGTGAATCATCATTTTATTTTTACTCTGTATGTCAGGAATTTTTCCAACCAGTTTTAAGATTCTGAGCCCAGATGATGTAGTGTGGCAGATAATATCAGCTTGTGGTAGCCCATTTCCTCCCTTTCTGAAGCTTGTCCACAGGAGGGATAAGGACTGTGGCAAAGCCAGCATCGCTGTGCCAGCAGAGTCCTCTAGTGGCAATGCAGCTAAGAAATGTTTTTTTCCCCAGTCTGCAAAATTGCTTTCTAAACTTCTGAAGGGTCAAGAATTGGAAACAAAAGCTTGCCTGGTGCTGCTGCTGCTATAACAGCCTCTGCCATTTACTATCATAGCAAGTAGGTGGGATTTTTTGTTTTTCACCATGCTGGGTGATATGCTTCAGAAAAGCATTTTACTGGACCTGGTCTTCAGTCAGGAACTGTACTCTCTGTGGAAAATTAAGATGGCTACTACTTGACCTCCTTTAGCTCAGAGTCTTTATCTCCATGAGTAAAGTCCTTTCTTCAAGTCAAGTGTGAGAAAGCAGCAGCATGCCCAATGATAAAAACAGCCCTATCAGTCCTGCAGTGCTTGTGCTGGTGAGAGGATGGAGTGGCAGCAACTGGGAAGCTGCAAAGGCTGCAGAGTCAGTAGCATGTCCCTGCTGCTCAGCCCTGCCTTGTCCCGTCCATCACATGTGGCTAGGACAGCCTTCCTCTCTGCCTGCTGTGCCCAAGCGGGAGGACCTCTGTAAGAGTGAGAGGGCTGGAGCCAGAAGGGAGGTGGTCTGGTGGGAGGACAAGTGCCTGAACCGCTGCTTCTTCACTAATGAAGCTGTTACCCTCAGTGGTGTAGCTCGTGGATTCCCAGGAAATGGCAAAGTTGCAAGCTGCTTTTTACCTTGCAAGGCAGCTGTGGCCCAGTATGTGAGTTGCCTCTCTGCTTGCAGAGGTTTAGGTGAGGCTACAACAAACCATCCTAGTTCTAAGACCATACTTCAACCCTCACTGAAATTAAATGGGGTATCCACCTAGAATATATGCAAAAGCTAACAGCAAAGCTTATCCCAGGTCTTCTTACATCCTGCAAGCTTCCAGAAATTACAGCAATTAATCCTACACATCCTTTCTCTCAAGTGTCCCACTATCCTAGCTGGCTAGTGATGCATTTTTCAGTGTCCAGCCCAGTAAATAAAGAATACTGTTAAGTTGAATGTTTTGTCATAAATGCAGCATGATGCAGCAGATTAGCTGACCTTTTAGACATTGAGCATAAATCAGCAGTACTCAGTTAATGTGAATTAAATCCAGTAAGGAACTTGTTAACATTCCCAGTTACTTCTAAAACAGCATGTGTGGATGGAATTTGAGTGTTACTTTGGCATAAAAAGATGAGTAAGCCATCTGCCATGTGATCATGAGACTGGGTTCATAAAGCAAATACATTCAAGTTTAGGAGTATACCTCAATAAAATAATCAACAACTAAAATATGAAGTGATGCCCCTTCCACTAACTTCTGGCTGCTTTCCATCCCAGTCCATTCTCTTTGACTGGTAAGAATTTCCCACCTGAACATAATTCCTGGATCCTAAAATTGTACCTATTCACAAAACCTTGGAATGGGTTGAGTTGTGTACAGCAGTGATCTCTGTGTTTTACAGTAGGATAGCCTCCAGTCTAAAGCTTGTTCCTTCTTGCTGGTGCCCTGCCTGTTGCTGCTTAGTGATTCAGGTTTTTTAAGATGCTGTGTAAGCAGGCTGTCAACATGAACCTCAGCCCATCTCACTGCTTTCTCTTGTAGCGTCTCTTCCTGCAGAGTTCCCTACAGAAAACAAGCCAAAAGCATGAACAAACAGCTGAACCAGAGACCTAGCACTCCAAGTAAGCTCTCACCCATGACAAACTCTTACCTTCTGTTGAGCTCATCAGGGTGTGCACAGATCTCAAAATTCATCTTCATAATTACACTGAAATTATGGGAAGCTAGTCTTGTGTGAAGTCAGCTCTCCATCAGAGAGAAGTCTTTTCCCTTCTAGACCTCTCCAGCACCTTAGAGCTTATATCTTCCCTCTAGTTGGGAAATTGCCATAGCAGGTTGTGCTCACTAGCCTTATTATTTTCCAAGCCTTGTCATGAAGCTCCAACGTCCCCTCTAAAACTGCCTCCTGTGTACGTAAGGTGCAATTTACCTCTCATCTCTGGCTCACTGGCATGTGACTGTTTTGACAGCATACTGTCCTGTCCTCACCTGCCCACAATTGTGGAAAACAAGACTATCTCTTCCAGTCTGCCATATGATTTCTTCCTTGGGTGATCTTTTTACCGCACCCTTCTTATGGGTGGATGTCCTAAAGAGGATTCTGGTTTCCTTTGTGTCACTCCAGAAATAGTTCTAAACCAAGTAAAGGCGCTTATTCTCCTGAATGAGGAGGAGCATGGCTGTATATCAAGTATTTAGACAAGCTCTCCAGGTAGTATATAAATGTGAGGTACAGTCTTTCTTTCATTCACATACATGAATCATCCTAATTAATGATAATTATCTTAAAGCAGCTTCCTTCACTGGGAAAAGTACAGCAGATTGTATGAGAAGACCTAAAAGATTAAGCTTGAGTGATTTTTTCCTTACAACAGTGTGGCAACAGTACAGTCAGGTTATTTTAGAAGAAAAAGCATAAATGGGCAAAAGCAAAGATGGATTTTACCTGTAAGGTGAGTGAAAGGGTTAACTGAGCTTTCATGGCTTTCAGCTCAGTTTTTAGATTTTTTTAGTAGGCTCCTTTGACAGTTATTATTTCACATAGGCTTGATAGTCTTGTGTGTAGATAAATCAGTGGTTTATACCTCATTTGAAACTGTACTGAAACTAGAATATTCTCAGCATTTGATACTGTAAAGTAAATAGATCATATTATGGAAACTCAGCTTTTGACAATCTAGACAATTTCATAGAAGGGAAGAGAAAATTGGTTAAATGTAACTTAAATTTAAATGATGGCTGGGTTCACAAATCATCAGCTTGCTTTATCTTTAAGGCTGATCTATCCATGTAACTGTGAACCTGAGACTATTTTTCTTCTAACTGTGAGGCGTAAAAACCATGCTTTATCATTAATTTGGGGAATTCAGCACAAATAAGGCACAGCATTGTTATTGTGTCACAGAAATATGTTTTTCCCAGTGTGTATATTGGCCTGCCCTGATAGTTGTTGAAACATCACAATTGCACAAGCCTTTTAAATTATTTATTTACCTTTCCAAAAGCTTCTGGAAATCTGCTGCCTTTCTTTTTGTGTGGGGATTAGGGTTTTTCAGATGTTCTTCTTCATAACTTTTGTTTGGTTTTATTCCTAATAACATGTAAATGGCAGTATTCTGCAAGAGAGGATCTTCACGAACTTGTACAAAATAAGGAGAAGGATGAGTTTATGTGGGAGATCCTTCATACTTTTTTCTTCTTTTTAATTTTCTAAGTACTTCTGTTTAAATAGCTAGGATTTGGCAGTGTGTCCCCATATGACCCCTCAGGGGCTGAAATTAATCCGGAGAGAGGACTGAGAGTCAGACAAGAAGCCTGGATATGGGTGTTTTAAATTGAACCTGGGAAAACTTTCTTTCTCTTTATTGCTTATAGAGGAAGACCAGGGAGATTTCATCTTCCTGGGCTTTTGGTTGATTTCTGAGGTCACCCCCTTCTGATGAGCCATGAGAAACCGTAGAGTACCACATAAACTCATCATGGACTCATATTGGCTCTCACAGGACTTGTCTACATGGAGGCACTCAAAAGGATAAAAGTGGAGGAGCCAGAATTGGAATTGGAGTGAGTGCCTTTCCAGAAGGACACTGAGAGGAGTAAGAAGTTTCAATGCACCAAGTCTTTGTTTATTTTTGCATGTTGCAGTAGGGGTCTGGGCTTGTGCAGTGGGCTTGGTTTAGGCGTATGTTTTCCAGTGCAATCCAGGCAGGCTGCTGCTTAAAGGCGAGTTGTACAGTGAAATGACCCACTTTTTCATAGATACCTGTGGAGTAACATGACTGGCTGCTTTCCATGGAAGAGGCAAGTAAGCAACTCTAATTAAAAATTATCATTAGTAGATCAGGGCTGGAGGCTGCTGCTAATTTGAAAGAGAAGGAGTCAAGTGCTCTATTGTTAAGGGAGTTCAAACAAACTAAACAGAAGTAAAAATCTGAGGGGAATCCTGGCTCTCCTGGGAAATAGCAGGTTTGCCTGAAACTGTAGTGTCCTGCATGGAGGGTGGCAAGTAGGGACAAAGAGCGGGAAGGTGAGTTAGGGAGGGATGGAGGAGGAAAGGAGTATATTGCTTCTGGCAGAGCAGCTTAATTACCTTTGGGAAGGAGGGAGTCTTAAAAGATAGAGCTGACTTGGTGAAGATAAAATAGGTTGGGCCAGCTGGAAAAAAATGGATGAAAATAAATGCTGACAAGCTAATACCATTCTGCTGCTGGCTCTGTGACACCCCACCGAGGATGGTGAGAAAGGTCTGGCCCTTCAGGATAAATACAAAAAAAATAATCTTCTGCTTTGTCATAGAAAAACTATAAAGAGGCCAAATATAAGTCAGACTCCTGAGATCCACAGCTCCACTCCAGTTTCAGCACATGAGCCACAGAGAGAGCTTTAGAAGCTTTAAGTTCATCCCAGTGCTCCTGCTTAAGCTCCCATGCACTTGATCCCTCTGTCATTGAAGTTACCGTTTGTCTGATACTTGCTGTCTGTCATTGCATCTGCTCTTTCCTGCCTTAGGTATCACTTAATCCTGATGGGTTCAAGTATTAACTCACAGAGCCTTACCTTGATCCCATATCTTCCTAATTTGATAATTTTCTGTTTCTCTTTAGCAATTGTTTGCATGTTTCTATGCAATTTTCAGTCTCCATGAACCATCTTCCTGTTCAAGCAAAGATGACTTGATGCTTCCGTTTGACTCTCAAAACACAATTTCTTATGGTGTTACTAAAACTCTGCAGTAAATGTGCTGCAGAAAATGAGCATCTTTTTTGTCTGCTCTGAATTATTGTTGTTATGTGTTTAACAAGAAGTTGTAAATCTAGTATGAGGTGTGTATCTATTGTATGGCTTTCTCTATAGGGACAATATCCTTAAGAGGTATAATTGATTGTTGTTCCTCTGACAGATTACAGCTGAAGGAGAATAAGCCTTAGAAGAATGTTTTTTTGTCCCTGGACTTCAAAAATTACTCAATTCAGCTTTTTGTCTGGATCTCATGACCTTTAAAACACTTGCAAAGTCTTAACAAGAAATTTTATTGTTGCAGAAAGTTAAGGAGTAGTAAGATAGAATGATGCTATAAACTACATGGTCTGCATTCTTGCTTTATGTGTAAGCTTTGTTATTTTCTTTTAACCAACATAGAGCCTTGAGATGTTTGTTGTCATTAATGGTACTTGTTTTCATACTTAATATATGATTGTATTTTGGCACAGCTGATGGGAAGTTAACAATCTTTTTTGGCCTGCTGTAGGGCCACACAAATTAAGACTTACTCCTGGGACAATGCACAGGTGATTCTGGTCGGAAACAAATGTGACATGGAGGATGAAAGAATTGTTCCTGTGGAGAAGGGGAAACATCTGGCAGATCAGCTAGGTACATGTCACAGCTTTTCTTTCTATTCTTTTTCCTCTGCTTCTTTATACTGTGTTCTTTTTAGTTTGTACAATAAAGTGTCCTTCCAGCCGTGATACTTTAATAACAGTATCACAACTAAGAAACATAATATATTCTAGGTCCATATTTTACGTGCTTAGTACTGAATAATGCCTTCTTGTAGTGTTGCTATATGTGTAAAGCAAATAGCTAAGGATGTAAGGAAGATGAAGTTTGTCTGGAGAGAACAGCTTATATTAGCTCAGCAGAATGAAAAGAGAAAAAGTTTTCATAAGCACAATTTTGTCTCCAGTACTCTAAGTACCATATAGTAATTTTCAGAATTAAAACATTGATTTTTGTAGAAGAAAATTTTTTTTTTTTTGCAACTAAGGGTCGAGTAAAATTTATTTTTAAAACGTACCAGGCTTCTCTGTCCAGGTAGGGAAATAGCATTATGTTATTGATTTGGAATAGAAAAAGCAAAACAGTTCCATTGAGAGGAATCTGGGATTGCAATGAAAATTTTAGAATGAACAGCAAAGTAAACTCATCAATTTCTTATTTATTTATAATTTTTCATTATGTATTATAGCATATATCATCTTTTTAATATGGAATCAGGGCTTCTGTGTTAAGATTTAACTATATTGTCATCTTCTTTTAAAGAATTCATAGTAGCAAGTAAATCCTGTTTAAAATTTGTCAGTTAGCAGTGGAGACCCTTACAGTGAGCATATTGTAAATCTTTCTTTATCTTGTAAGAGTAGAGATTCTTATCAGACCTAAAGGAATCACCATCCTCCCCAATTTATAAAATCCTACGTTGTCTTAAATTCTTAAAGCAGCAAATGGAGGGTGCATAAGATATTTTTAAACTGGGGGCACTGGACTTCCAGTACACTCTGCATACATTGTTATAGTTTAATGTGTGACCTTGATCAAATTGCCAGTTATGGTTAAATCTTAGATAATGCGTATTTATTAGTTGGGGGTTTTGTTATTGTTGTTCTGTTTGTTTTAATGAAGGGAAGGTAGAGAAACCCTGCTCACGGATGAGTACAAAGTATGGCTTTGTTATAGGAACCTGTTTGATATAAACAAAAAGGTGGTCACTGTTCTGAAGAGTTAAGAGTAATAGATTGATTTTTTATGTTTCACGTGCAAAGAAAATAAGCGTGTCTGCAAAGGTTTAGAGCCTTCAAATATAAATTCTACATATGCTAAGCACAAAGGGATCCCATTCATGACTGGATCCTTGAGGTACTGCCATCATAAACAAAAAATGAGCAAATATCAAACTAAACCCTCTAATTTCCAATCATTATTATTATTATAATTCTTTACATGTAGGACTAGCAAAGCGAACAAAGACATGGTTCGTTTGCAAAATCAGTTATGGGCTCTTTTTTACACACCAGAATTTAGTTTGCTTTTGAAAATATGCATGTGAATAAACGTGGTTCCTGGCTTGCAGACTCTCAAAAGCATTGTGAATGCATGTGTGCCCACAGATTTTGCAAGAGTAATTGAACTATTAGTAGCTGAAAATTTGTACAGAACAGTGTAACAGCAAATAAAGAGTTTTACTGGAACTCACACTTCTGTTTGAAGTTCTAATGTTTTTTCACCCTCAAAAATTAATCTGTTTGTTTAAATATGGATTTGGCATCTAGAATCTGAATCCTTTAGGTATGGGACACTTCAAAACACACTCGCACACTGAGTTACCATAGCAACTGACTCCATCAGTAGGAAACTGTTGTGCTGAAGAATCCCCAGGTCTGCTCCTAACCTGTCCTCATGCTTGTCCAGCTCACCCTGGAGAAACATACCCCAGTGCAAAGCAAAACAAAAGCTAGCCGTTTCTTTGGAAAGTGCTGTCTCAGTCGTCTTCTTCTGTAGCCTCCCAAAATACTAAATGTGCCTTTTAAAAGGGCTGAAAAATATACTTGGTTTTATCAGTCAGTTTTTCTTTATGTTAACTGTACTAATTTGTACAGCATTATCTGAAATTACTTTGTATGTTAAGTGGGAGGAATCTCTTTAATTGACTACTGAATGCTTAAACTGCTAGCTTCATCATAATGATTCACATAAAAGTTATCCTTCAGCGTGTTTATCTGAATTGGTACAGTGACATTACCATCATTGAAGTATTTTCCTAATCAGATTAAGAAATTGTTACTAGCCTGAACGTGAACTAAACCAAAACAGATTCAGCCACAGCAGAAGCTAAACCAATGCTGGACTGACAAATATCTGAGTTCAGTTCTTTGATTTCTCGTGCCTTTTATATACATTTGTAATCATCATCAAAGATAGCAAGTGGGGCAGACAGAACCCTCGTCTGACGCAGGACAGCCAGCCTTATTTAGTAACAAGGCAAACATCTCCATCACTTCACTCATTGTCCCATGATTTTTAGAAAGTGGTAGAATGGGGTTAATACCTACTTGTTATCTCACACATCAAAGTGACTTAGTCTACCAGCAGTTGCAGACTAATCAGTTAAGATGATCTCTTTGTGACTGAATCAAATAAAACTGATCCAGTGCCGAATAGCCCCAAAAGGAAGCACAACAGAATGTAGCTTATTGCAAAATAAACTCTGTGGTGCTTGAGCTCTCGCTGTTGGCAATATAATAACCTGGTAGAACAGAAGCAGCAGCCATTGTAAGTGATGGTTGGCCTTTGAGGCCCCTGGGGTTAGAAAGATAAAGAAATGCTTCACAGTTCAGCACGTTTCTGCTGGCTGAGGCAGGGTTTGGGCTTATCTGTGAGAAGGCTGGTTCTTGTGTAGCGTGGGGTGTCAACGGGAGGCAGCAGGAATAGCTGTCTGTGTGCCATCCTCACCTTGGTATGACTCCAGCCTTGCTGTTTTGTTTCTTCTTTTTTTTTTTTTTTTTTTTTTTAATCAGAAAGGATCAGTGTTTGAGAATCCATACTCATCACTGCAGCTAGGAGCTGGTTGGTGACTGGACACTGAAATTACTCTGTAGGAGGCACTCAACATTATTTGCTATTCAGCAGTGCTGAACAGCCCTTGTCAGGATGGGTGCTCCCTGAAGGGCCTTCTGTCTAGTCAGACAAGGAATGGGGAAAACAGGACCAAAATTGTGGAGCATTTTGCTCACAAGTGCAGAAGTTGGTCAGCAGAAGCAGTACAACCAGGATCTTGCTTCTCTTTCTGGTCTCTGCAGTAGTGGCTCTCAGAGTAAGCCTAGCCCTGTCGCTCAGGGTTACGTGGAGCCTGGGAAGGCCCGTCTGTACATAACCAGTTAGTGGTGTTGGGAGGATTCGACTCCCTTGTCCTGAGTGTATTCAGGTCTGTATCACTTGCAGAAGTGCTTACCAGGGTTATGGTAGGGATCCATTTATGCCTTTCACTCTTATTGATGCTTGATAAATTTTAGAAGTATTTCTGCTCAGTATTCTAAGATTGTGGGAATCAAATGATCTTAAGAATTGTCTAATCTCTTGTTTTCTTCGGTGAATTCTGAAAAAAAAAAACAGAATTTCAAAAACCATCTCCATTATCATCAGTCTCTATTGATTATTTTTTTCACTTTTTCTCACAGGTTTTGACTATTTTGAAGCTAGTGCCAAAGAAAACATCAATGTAAGGCAGGTGTTTGAGCGTCTGGTTGATATAATCTGTGAAAAGATGTCGGAGAGTATAGAATCAGACTCTTCCAGGGGCACTTCTGGAAGGAGCATGCGACTCACAGACAACCCACCCCCTTCTCAGCAGAACTGCTCATGTTAGTGAGCTTTCTTGCTGAGAAATGTCCTCCTTTCCTGACTAAATTTTATCTTTTCATTTGAGTTGGTGCATTATCATGTAGTCGAAAGGTATAAGTCTCTGTTGTAGGAAACTGGTATGTTTGTTTAATGTGCTGGAGTGTTAATGTTGTATTTCCTCATCCAATAATTTAAAAAACAAAAATCTAAATAAATATTGTAAGTGTACCTAGTGTTAATGTGAGTTACATTGAAGAAGAAGAATTGTATAGTGTTGCAAATGTTATTTCCACAGAGAATGTTGCATTGTTAATTATAAATTCCTCTATGGCAGGAAGAGATTTTTGTCAAGAACAGCAGGAAAGAAGGAACCAGGATTAGAAGGGACCAGGTCTAAAAGAAAACAGGGGGAAAAAACCTCCTGTAAAGCAAAAATATACTTTTGTTTTTTTCCTTTTTGCATTTAAAAAAAAAAATCAATCCCCAGATATTTTGAGAGTTGTTCTCCTCCAGACATGGACCTGATTTTTTCTGTATGATGGAGCAGAAAAAGCATTGCATTTCTGCCTGACAGTTTGAGGTCCTTCAGAGATCGAAGAGGAAGGGGAGGTGGATTTTGTGTTGGGGCTCTAAATAGAGGAAGAGCGTGTGGAGGGGGATCAAGGCTCCCAGGCAGGGGACGAGGAGTACAAGAAGGCCTCACAGCCATGCCTGCATTTCCCTGTGCTCTTGGCTGGTGCTGGCTGAAGGAGCAAGATCCCTTCCAGGGACTGCCCTTGCCTGCAAACCTCTCCCCAGTCACCAGGAAGGGCTTGCGGAGTGCTGGGGGTGTCGCTGTGTTCGGCACCTTCTCGTCCCTAATCATTTGATTCTAGAAGCCCAAGAGCTGACTGTCCTGAGCTTTTCCCCTGTATCCTGCAGTTTTACCTCTCCAGGTTTGGATCTGCTCTCAAGTGCTTGATGGTGGATTTGTTGCAGGACAAAGGAAAAGAGGAATTGGCTGCTGCATGCTTAGATGGAGGCAAAATCTGACATGTAAGACTTGGAACAGCAGTATCTCAGAAAGATAAAAATATCAGGAGCCAAAATATGAGTGTTGGCAAATATTAGTGTCAATATTATTAGATTTTCTTTCTACATTTTGTTGTTGATTTATTTTTTTAATTTTGTGCTAGATGGTTGCATGTGTGGGGATAGCTTTTCTGGTTTCAGATTCAACCACAAAGCATAATTTAAAAAAAGGAAGATTGATTAATAAAACATAACTGCAAATGAAAAATGGCAAAGATGTCCCGTTATTCTATGGATGTTTTGTTGCATTATTCTTTGAAGGGAGGAACAATTTTTAATATTTAACATCTAAAATGTTCTTATACTTTCAACATCTCTAAAATTACAAAACTTCTACATCAGTGTGCAGAACTCTGTGTGCATTAGTCACATGCAGAGCTGGTATTTCCCTGAAATACATGAAGGAATTGCTTTTGCAAATCTGTGAAATTACATACACTGTATGCCTTTGTGGTCACACACCCAGCTCTAAATAGTGATTTCAAATTGTGTCTTTAAATGTAAATTAGGTGGATATGGAGAGTTTGCTGGCTTAAGGTGAAAAATTCTGAAAAGTTTTATGGCTTTACCTTAGGCCTATGAACTCCTCTGGCTGCGACTTTCTGGTGTCAGAAACTAGAGTCGAGTATCTGCCCACTGCACTGTAATTTGCTGGATCATGACACTAGTGAATGCTTTCGTAATTTCATTCTGTCTCAAAGTGTGATAGTTACTAAAAAAAAAAAAAAAGGCACAGTATTCTGGAGAAAAATGCAACTCTATTGACATCATTTGAGCTCATTGTGCTAAAGGCTTGATCCCTTTGTATGCTGCTTTCAGAAATCTTTATTGTTACATATTTTGGGTGTGTGTGATCTAGTAAAGTGCAATTTGTACAGTGCTAGGAATGTGGTTATTGTATCTGAATGCCTGAAACTGCAAAATAAAGAGAAATTTCATCACTGGGTGTGGCCAGAGATCTTGTGTGAGCTGCATTACCAGCATATTAAGCAATCGAGTGCAGGTCTAAAGAAGGTGCCTTTTTAATGCTTTTCAAATACATCAAACTCCATTGAACTTTCTGACGGTGTGATGATCCTTGAGCCCAGCACTCGGGAATCACTATGCAGATTTAAAACAGAGCAAAGAGAAGGATTGTCTGGGCAATAAATGTGTGTTCTAATTGTAGCAGAAGCAAGTTTTAGGGCAACTGGTGTAACTAGGAAAAAGAAATAAAAAATTCCACAGCAGGGAATGATGATTTTGAGCTGTGTAGGTACAATGGATTACGTTACTGCAAATAATGATTTTTCAGCTCAGCAACTGAATGGTAAAAGAAACTGGATTCAGCAGAAATGAAATTTCAGTTCTTTTGTTTTACTTTTTTTTTTTTTCCTTAGCAAATAAGACCTTTCCCTTTTCTACCCAATATAGAATTGTGTTTCACTATGTTCCTGTCACGTCAGATGTAACTTTTTTACTTCTTTTAAAGAAGAATACAAGTACATTCCAGGCCTTTCAAGCTAGGATGGGCAGAATTGTTTTTTACAGGACAAGCCAGCAAGTAGCTACATGTCAGTATAGTCCAAAAAACTGGAAAAGACAGTTATCAATTCTACCCTGCCCTACATTGTGTACATGGAGAAACCTAGTATTTGGTGCAGAAATCCTGCAGAGTTTATTTCAAATAAGGAGTCAAATCATCACAGGCAACTGACACATCTCTCCATTAATAAATCTATTTTACATCTTACATTAGCATTAAAAGCTGTGAATGAAGACAGAGAAAGCCTTTTGCCTTATGTGGCATGCAGCTGATATCAGTATCAGTGGTGAGATACAGTCGTCGTTGCTTGTATTAACTGAGGTAATGGCAGAATACAACAATAATTTCTCAGGGCAAAGGAAATAACAGACCAAACACAAACCCAAAATTCTTGATGCAGTCCCGTATAGAGCCTTCCATTGGACTGGCAGTGGCCTCGGAGAGTAGTGTTGATAAAACTGTACAGTTACAAGATTAAAAAAGGGATACTAGAAAAGAGGTGATTGCTCTTGAGAATTTCTCTTTAGGGCTTGTACAATACAGCAGTATTGCTGTATTTATTGCTGTATTTTTTGTATTACTTGGAGAATTGTGTATGCAGTTCTCCAACAAAAGACATACTGGAGGCTCTGTGTTAGAGACGGGTCTTGGCTTCCATCTTGTGGAGAAATAAAGCACTAAAATATCAGGTAGACATCCAGTCTAGAAGATTGTCCCTGTATCTCAGACAGCCCCCCCCCCATTTGTATTAGCCTCTGATCCCTTAACTTTGCTTTCGTCTTTTGTAGTCGACAGATTTACACACATGCACAAAATAACAGCACTGGTATTACAGGAATAGTAGAAAACTGAACAAATTGTGGAACAATGCAAAAGGGATGTTATAAATGCACTAGCAAGCTTCCCAACAGCTTTCAAATTGTTACAAAGAAGAGGACCTTTGCAATCTATGCCATTTGGAAATGCCAGCTTCAAAGAAATTTAAGACAAGAGCAGCATTTGTTGTCAAGACTTTAAATTGGTACATTAGAACTAGTTTCATAGGGAGGAAAAAAGTATATTCACAAATTGGAAAATCATGAAATGTAGTGAACTGGAAAAATGGCCATATCAAGAATAAGCACAGTCTTTTGTGCTAAATAGTCATGGGTACAAGCTTTACGTTATTAAGGATACCATTAGGGGAAGAAAAAAAAAAAAAACAAAACAGTAGTTAACAGTAAGCATGTACTGGAGCTCAAAAGACCAGCGGTAGTGCTGGTTGAAATAAAATTGCTTTTGCTATCAGATCAACAGTGCGGTCAGGCGTTTCGCGCCCTAAGGATCATCGTGTTTCTTCGAACCGAGCGGTTCGCGTTCGACTCCCCCGCTGACCGCTGCGGGAGGCCCATCACCACGACCCCGCTTCCCCGTGACCGCTCTCGGCCGGCCCCGCCCGCCGCCGGCTTTCACCGCCAGCCTCGGGGCTGCCGCCAGCGCTGCCCGAGCTGGGCCCGCAGACGGACCCCCGGCCGGCTTCGAGCTGTCCCGGCCGAGCCCGGTATGTCCCGGGAGAAGCCGGTGCGTGTCCCCGGTGCTGAGGGGGCTGAGCGGGGGCCCCTCCCGGCCATCGCGACTATCAGGGCTGAGCGACAGCTACCTGGGCCAATAGCTAAACGCAATGAGAGAAGGCCGGCCTCCACCACCCGAAGGTTGGGCTATTCCAACACGAGAGCGGGGGGGGGGGTGTGTGGGCTATTCCAACACGAGAGCGGTGTGTGTGTGTGTGTGGACACACACAACTAACACGGCTGACGGGCAGAAATGTCGGAGCGTGGTGGCACGGAGCGGACATGCCGGTATCTGGCTTTATTCCTCTGTCCCTCCTCCCTCTGATTTCCGAGAGGGGCTGCATTTCCCCCTCGCCTCTCTCCCTCCACCCATGGTTTCCCACGCCACCAGCGTCCCCTCCACCAATCAGAGCCTCCCCTGACCAACTGCGGGCGTGGGATTGGCCCGTTTCCTCCAGCTGGAGCCGAGGCGGGCGCTGACTGGTGCGGGCCGGCGCTGTCGCAACCGTCAGCGCCGCTTCCTGCGGCGGCGGAAGCGGGCCGGGCCGGGCCGGGCCGCGGCGGGGCGGCGGCGCATGCGCAGTCTTGCGGCCGCCTTCGCACGGAGGTGTCGAGCGGCGGGCGCCCGCGGCCTGGCGGGGCGAGGCCGGCCGCTGCCTGCCCTCGCCCAGCCGCTGTGGCGCGTCGCGACCGCCGCCATGCCCGGTAGGAACAAGGCGACGTCCGGCTACGGCTCTCCGGAGCTAGCGGTGGGGCAGCAGGCCGGGGAAGGCGGCCGTGACGCCAGAGGCCGCTCGCCTCACGGGGAGGAGGAAGACCGCGGCGACATATGTCCCGGCGCCAACCTCGGCGACCCTGACATCGTCAAGTCCCCCAGCGACCCCAAGCAGTACCGGTGAGGGCCGGCGGCGCCGAGCCTCCCCGTCCCGGAGGCCGTTGCTCGGGAAGGCTTCAGGGGAAGGCGGGTGGGGGGAGGACGAGCCGCCGCTGCTGAGGCAGCCCTGGCGTGGGGTGCGTGGGGCCTCCCGCTCCCCACGTAAATCCAGCCCCGGCCGGCGGGAGGAGGGGGGTGCGGGGCTGGGCGTCAGCCCGCCCCGTGTCCCGGGCGCTCCGGCACGGCTGCAGCTTTCGGTGCTTGGAGTCGGGCCCGTCCGGGTGACCGCGGGGAGTTAGGGGCCTGTCTGTGAAAAATGGGGACTGGGGGTTCGTGGGTGTATTTCTTCCGATGATGGGCTGTCCGGTTTGCGTACAGTAATGGGCTTGGGGCTGGCATAGAAAGGAATAAATTAGTCCTTGTTAAAAGGCAGCTGTGGCGCTGCGTTTTTGAGGCACAGCAATATTGAATTGTTAAGTTTGTAGCTCTGTTCCAAAAGCGTTAAAACTGAAGCTCAGAATGTGGTTGAAGTATTACAGAGCAGATACCAACTTTGAAAAAGTTGTTGCTCTTCCCGTTTTAGTTGAGTTTCCAAGTATTAACGCAAATATGCTTCTCAGTTGGGACAAAAATTACTTTTATGATGTATTTTTACATGTATTTTCATTTGTATATTTCTGAGTAATACCCCTGATAGTGCAGAAAAAACTCACCTTCCCTCACCACAGCCCACGGTGTATGTGGCCTTCTCACCCTGAGAGACTCAGCTGAGAACAGCAGCGGAGGCTGGGCTCTTTGGATGCTGTAAGGCAGTCATTCTTGAAGGGACTCTATTATAAGCTACTTTCTGTTAGACAGAAGATTATTTAGCCCTTGTTAGAGATGGGGTTTTTATGTTTACTATTCATGGTGTCTAATCTGTGCAGCCAATGGAGAATCTGCCTAAGCCTGGAACTGAGTTTTGGATTTGCAGGGGCATTGGTTGACAGTGAAATTCCCTGCTGGCTGTGTGAGGACTGTGCCCATTGGCTTAGGGAGAAACTTGCTCCCTCGCTTCTTGCCCTACTTCCTCACTGCTTCCTCTGGATCTCTGCCTGCCTTTCCTGCTGGCATTCTTACTCATGTGACTTTGCAGGAGGCTTGTCTTCATGCAGAGTTCATGGTTACAGAGCCTGTCAGTTTAGAAAACTTCTGTCTTTACTACCTGAAGTATCACAGCAAGGAAGCTTGGGAAGTCCATTGAAAGCCATCACTGGCTATCTATTTTGAGGCTCAGGAACCTCCCCTGCATGTAGAGAATTGGAGATTTTGCCTATAGTGTAAGATAAACCAATACCGACATTTTCCAGAAATCATCCTCTCTATGCTTAACAGACTTTTTCAGTTGGAAGCAGAGAGTCACATCTTTTCAGATTGATTTCCATTTGTGGGAAGTGAGCCTTGCACAGAACAGACACAAACATTACCCTTACGAAGGAGAACTTAAGTGTGACTGAATGACCTATGTCTGCTAACTATACGCCAACCCCCCCAAGTAAATGTAACAGCAGGTGATTTGATCGTGTATGTACATTTTCTCCTCCGTTCATGCATCAGCGATGATTTGTACTGCAGACCAGTCACAGTGGACTTAATGTGACCGTCTGGTGACATCAGTCTTAACTTAGTGGTGAATGTATTTTATCTTCTCAGATACAGTGATCGTAAAAACGAAAGAGTTCTGACAGAGATTGCAGAATGTATTTTCAAAAGTGAGTTTGTTGGGACAAAAATTAGGTCATAATGAAAGTTGGTTTTGCTCATTAGAGCTATGAGTGGGTCCTTATCTTTGCCAGAATGTCTGTTTTATTTAATTCATCCATATGCGGAATCTCATGGGTTTCTATTGCTTGTTTTGGATAATTTAGGAAATTAAAATGTTTCTCTAAGCGTTTACCTTCTATTGATATGTATTTCAATATTTACTTAACTGCTGAACAGTTATCATTGATA